TCTTTACATCAGGAGGACTGAAAGTTAGTTTTTGTCAATTCAGTTTTAAAAACAAAATAATTAAAGCAGTGTTATATGCGGATAGAGTACCGTTGCTTCTTACAAATTCTAAATAATCTGCCAACCCTACACAATAAGATGTAGTCTGCCTTGTTTAAGTTGGTTGTTGGTTGTAGCTCTTTACATCAGGAGGACTGAAAGTTAGTTTTTGTCAATTCAGTTTTAAAAACAAAATAATTAAAGCAGTGTAATATGCGGATAGAGTACCGTTGCTTCTTACAAATACTAAATAATCTGCCAACCCTACACAATAAGATGTAGTCTGCCTTGTTTAAGTTGGTTGTTGGTTGTAGCTCTTTACATCAGGAGGACTGAAAGTTAGTGTTTGTCAATTCAGTTTTAAAAACAAAATAATTAAAGCAGTGTAATATGCGGATAGAGTACCGTTGCTTCTTACAAATACTAAATAATCTGCCAACCCTACACAATAAGATGTAGTCTGCCTTGTTTAAGTTGGTTGTTGGTTGTAGCTCTTTACATCAGGAGGACTGAAAGTTAGTTTTTGTCAATTCAGTTTTAAAAACAAAAATAATTAAAGCAGTGTAATATGCGGATAGAGTACCGTTGCTTCTTACAAATACTAAATAATCTGCCAACCCTACACAATAAGATGTAGTCTGCCTTGTTTAAGTTGGTTGTTGGTTGTAGCTCTTTACATCAGGAGGACTGAAAGTTAGTTTTTGTCAATTCAGTTTTAAAAACAAAAATAATTAAAGCAGTGTAATATGCGGATAGAGTACCGTTGCTTCTTACAAATACTAAATAATCTGCCAACCCTACACAATAAGATGTAGTCTGCCTTGTTTAAGTTGGTTGTTGGTTGTAGCTCTTTACATCAGGAGGACTGAAAGTTAGTTTTTGTCAATTCAGTTTTAAAAACAAAAATAATTAAAGCAGTGTAATATGCGGATAGAGTACCGTTGCTTCTTACAAATACTAAATAATCTGCCAACCCTACACAATAAGATGTAGTCTGCCTTGTTTAAGTTGGTTGTTGGTTGTAGCTCTTTACATCAGGAGGACTGAAAGTTAGTTTTTGTCAATTCAGTTTTAAAAACAAAAATAATTAAAGCAGTGTTATATGCGGATAGAGTACCGTTGCTTCTTACAAATAGTAAATAATCTGCCAACCCTACACAATCTACGCCTATTAAGGAGCAATCAAGCACTCGGCACATACGCGAAACTGAGGAAACAATAAAACAAAATTGACGTATAAAACTCCCTGGACTAATTCTGATTGCAGACTTTAGCTGAGATATAAAAACAAATTACTTTGGCTTTAACATTAGAGATCGCGTAGGTACTGTTGACGAAACTATTGATGTAATGAAAACGGTTCAAATTACAATAAAATAAATTTTTTGTTATTACATAATTGTAAATAATTTGTCTATAGGTTTTATGTAGGACTAATAATTGAGAAAAATGTGCCGACTGTGTTACTTGTCTATCATATCTTAGTCTATCTGATTTGTAGCCACCTATCTTTTTTTTTTCAAAAATTTCCTCTAAGCCCATATTTTTGGCTAAACGTAGTCTGAGCAGATTACTGCTATATGGTCTCTGTCTACCCCTGGGGGAATACAGGCGTGACGCTATGTATGTAAATAAATTTTATATCTATTAAACTAAATTGACATTTTTATCGTTCTCAAGCAAATACGTTAATATTTATTATTGTTTAAGTAAAAAAGGTAACAGGATTAATACGTGGTAGAGCCACGCTACAGCTATATTATGGTTGTAGCACGAATGGGTCGACTCGACTGGGGAAGGACCACGCTCTAAAAATAAAAGTAAAATAGCAGCTTAATGCTAGCCGAAGACCCGTTTTACTGGAAACGAGGCATTCCATCTTAGTCGTCAGGGGTGACAACGCATCTGCATTTTGATTCTTACTCGAGGATTAATGCAGATGTCTATGGGCCGCAGCATGCACACACCATCAGGTGGAATGTGTACTTGTTTGTCATCCTTATTCTATATAAAAAATGAATATACGTCCCACTGCGAGGGGAATAGTCGCTTGGCTGCCGCCCGTGTTGGCGGACTTCAGATGCCTTCGAAATGTTTTTGTTTCTCAGGCATGCAGCTTTCGTCACTACGTTTTTCTTCACGGCTAAGCACGTGCTAAATCAGTGCGTAAAATTGTAATTAAAAATTTAAGTTACGCCGGCGGCGGGGTTGACTGTACGTTGTATAATAATTTATTAAATTATTTAAAAAATAAAACATGCAAGGTAATTTCTACCGTGCCGAACCTCCTTCTTGATGAAATAGGATGAAAATATAGTGGTTACCTATTGTAGTTGGTAGGGACTGATCTAAAGTCATAAAGAAACATAACTATTTTGACATTTGTGACATTTCAGAATAAACGAACAAATAATCGTATATAAAATCTATGAAGGGGGAATAGTTTATGACAAGGCATTTACGTTATAATACGTACTAAAGAGTTTCCCTCGCTCGTGAGTACTATACTGATATAATATGATTTTACGATGCTTAGTTAATGTTGATACAATAAGTATAGGACAGATTATACATGTTATACTTGAAGAAGTTATGGACTTTGCCGTTAAAATTGGTTGTCAATATAAGAGAAACTACACATTAATCTTAATTTACCCATGAATTATCAAAACACTAATCGTGTATCCAATATTAAATCGAATCTAAAACGGTCTTGTAAAACAATAATACAAAGAATTCCGCTTCTAAAATGTGTTAATTACCTTTTAGGGATAATAAAGCGCCAGTAGCCTAGGGTAGAATAGGTAGTGGTAGGTTGCAGACCGCGAATAGTCATGGGTTTGAATTCGCCATTCGACTGCAGCCGTGACCTACTCATATTTTAACACAAACATGCAGGTGGCTCAGGACCGTGCTTTGTGGAATTCCTTGGGAGAGGATTTTGTTCAGCGTGGAGTTGTGAGGGGCTGTAATGATGATGATGATTTTAAGTTTACCCGGAGTGGTTGATGGGAATATTGGTAATGCAAATAGCATTGCTAGTGTTTAAAAAAATTATGGGTTAATCAAAACAAAGAGAATAATGATAAAGAGTAAAGAGTAGGTAATGAATGAGAAAAAAATGTCTAAACATTAAAATATCTACCTAGTGAAATTCACATGTACATTTTATAACCGAAGCGACAGTAGCCTAATTGCAGGGCGCGGATCGCGAACTCAAAAAAGGTCGTGGGTTCGAATCCGCCATTCGACTACTGGCGTGAACCACTCGTAACACAAGCGAATTAAGCTTACCACGAGTGGTTAAGGGGAATATTAGTAATGTTTATAGCATTGTTAATATTCTTTTAAAAACAAAAATAAAAAAGAAATAACTCGTTATAACCTAATCAAGTCCACTGCTGAACATAGGCCTCCCCATGGATTCCCTCTTATGGGGATTATCTGCCACAGTTGCCACGCTTGGCAGGCGGGTTGGCAACCGCAGTATTTTTTATTTTCTTGAACTTATTAGAAAGACGCTGCTGCCCATCTCCTGAGTTGTCTATTACGACACCTACAGGGTGTCATGGAGTTGTGGATATTCTTACACCGCTACTACACGGTCTACATGTAGATGTGATTTTATTCTGGCATATTTACAGATATGTAATTGATGGGTAAGTCGTTTTTTTTATTAGAGCATTTTAAGTTCTGCCCATGAAATTAAACTATGTCCACAAATGGTCTTGGACATTTTGCACAGGTATAAATCATGCTGTATAAACCATGCTAAGCAACTCGTATGAAGAAAGCTTGACATGACGGCGGTGGAACAAACTCAAATCTCTATATAGATACCTAGTACCTAAGGTGAGACATCGTGTGTATCGCTCAATGTCGTCAATTAAGCGGAACAATTTACAGTATAAATTATTGAAGCAACAATTTACTGTAAGAATTATTAATAACAATTCATTTTTGTTACAATTCATAACAAAAGTGAATTGTTATTAATAATTTAACGAATGTGAAATATTACAAAATATGGGTTTAATATACCTTGTAAAAAATTGTTAAATAAATAATATGTGGCTATACAATCACAAACATTATTATATCCCATTAGTAACGCATTTGGCGCATTATTTTTTACTTTAAGTCAAACATTAACATGGGACCTATAAGTTCCAGACTAATATGGGGCAAATGAACAACATGGCATAATTATATGAAATTAGATATTAATAAAGTTAAAAAATAAACTATAGTGGTAAACGGTTCTAAATTTATAAACATCTAAAACACGAATAACTTTACGCTAAATTCAATATTTCGTTGGTACTAGAACAAAGGCTAGGCTTCGGTTAGATAATAAAAAATAAAACCTGTCAGTGATCTTTTTTTTAAGTGCAATATGCGTATAAATTGTTCAAATCATTGAGTATAAGCTAATAGCATTGCATCTGTCCTGCAGTGACAATGAGTGAACGAGGTCAGTTTTTGCTAGTAATTATTTATTTACGAAGTAATTATCCATGCACAACGGCATTGTTATTGTCGACCTTAAGTTTTTTTTTTGCGGGTAAATAGGTGGTCTGTATATCGCACGTTATCAATTTATGTACCTGGCCAGTTGTAAAAATATCTTTGAATAGTATTATATGGCCCAGATTAAATAATTTTAAGCCAGTATTAACTAAAGAAAATGTTTTTTTAAAGAATTTCAGATGTATGTAAGAACAACTTGTAAATAAAATGCAGGTAACGTAACATTTCCGAGCTGTTATGACAGGGTTCGGATAATTTCAAAGCAACGAATCAAAAATGGTATTTTGGCAGTTGCTACACGTTTGGAATACTTAAAAATAAAGCCTAAATAAATGGACTGTATTATATTTAAAAGTTAACTAGATATGAAAGAAAAGTTATTTTTACGATGAAAAAAAAACGAAAGCATGAGCAATGAATGATTAACTCACTGTGTGGTGGTGTAAGGGAGAGTGCGGAGACTGCTGCCGGCGGCACGGGGGGAAACATGTCCTGATGCGGCGGAAACATCCGTGGTGGTGGTGGAAGGTCTGCCTCTTGTTCCTCGGGCTCTTGTTTGTGAGTCGATGGAGATCGCGGCCGCGCTAGTCGCACCGCTTTCAGACCACTAGGTGATCGTCGCATCGACAGATTTTCCGGTGTATCAGACTCGCCAGAGCGGCGTCGCGGTCGTGCTTGCTTGCGTCGTGGTTGAGGGCTCACAGGGCTGGCGGGTGGCGAAGGCGCCGGTGTCGCTCTCGCTGGACTCCTCGCCGGAGGAGTTGGTGGCGGCGACCGCATTCTCTCCCCTTCCTGGTCGGCTAGTCCACGCACTTGCAGCGATTCTCCCGCCCTTATCACAGTGCCCAGTTGCTCTTGCGCCACTGACACCTCTCCGCGGTACATGAAGTCCACCACGGCCTGTACCTCCCATCCTTGAAAGTCCTTGAGCACTATCACAGGGTGCTTGCACGGATTCTCGCTGAATATCCTCCGGAAGAGCGGGCTGCACGCGCCAAGTAGAACCTTGTGAGCGCGAACTCGCCGTTCGGAGCAGACGAGGGTGACATCGACGAGCGTCTCGGCGTGGAGGAGCGCTTCGAAGGAGCGCAGCAGGTGCGCCGGGTGGTTGTTCCAGCGCAGGCTGTAGTGCTCCTCGACGGCGGCGGTCGACTTGCCGTCCATCGCGCGAGCCGGCGGCGCCTCGTGTGTATGAGCGCGGCGCGGCCCGCCTGCGGGCGCGTGCGCGACCTCGCGCCGCCCTCCGTGCGCTTCGCACCCCGTACTTCAACCCTTTCGCTCAGATCGCCTTCGCACGCACGACGGCACGGAAAAGTTTGGTTCGCACTGCACAGCACTAGGTCCGAGCGGGCGTCAGGCGGTGTGGCACGGGCGCGGACGTGTGTCGCGGGCGGCTCGCGAGCGCGGAGTGAGCGTGATGTGGAGACGAGCGCGCGGTGCGGCGAAGTCGCGCGAATGCCGAATGTCGGCGATGCGTGCTCTCGGCGGGCAGTGGCCGCCGGCGCCGGTGTCGGCCCGCCCCCGGGCCCGCCCCGCCACTCACACAGCCACCACTCCACTCCACTCGACATACGTGTGTCACATCACTCCGATACCTACTCACATGTGACGCCTACTTTACCAGTAATTTTTACATACCTACGGCTCTAGCTGGAAACGGAAAATTCATTTAGTCATATATAGTCACTACGGCATTTGTCATGAAATCAAGTAACCTTAATATATATGAATTACGTGTCACGTTTGTCCGCGATGGACTCCTAAACGACTTAACCGATTTTTATCAAATTTGCACACCGTGTGCAGTTTGGTCCTATTTGAGAAATAGGATAGTTTTTTTTTGCCCATGAGTGACCCACTTTTTTGTTGCGAATTTAAGGATTTTTAATAGGACATGCCAAAGGGTCGTCGAAAAGGGCAGAACAACGTCTGTCTGGCAAGCTAGTATTATTATATAACACTGAGCTAAATTCAACACATAAGCGTTAAATGGTGTCAATGGTTTTGTTACAAAACTTAACATTGACGACACTACATTACACTAAATACATTTACTTACTTTATTATACACACCGAAATGTACTAAAGCAGGTAGTTTTTAATAACAGGAAAACGGATCACTTCATTGAATAACAAAGATGATCGCGGAAACAAAAGATTCCGGGAAGAAGTTATTAAAAAAAGGTTTGGAGAACTTAGGTTTTTATCTAAAGACTTGACTTTCATTTTTACCGTAATACTTGCTGCTTTTAATGTACCTATAAGTATAATAATATCTACATACCTATATGAATTAAGACATGGTCTTTATGACATTTATTAATTATTATAAAACATGCTTAATTAGTAACTTTCTTCAGTTGATTATGTTATCTAGTTATACAAAGTAGCTACTTATATACATTTTAGCACATAACTTTTAAAAAGAAGTAGGTTAAGAAACCTCTCACCTTACCACAGAATAAATATTACGAAGACGGCTGTATTTTTTTGTACGGCCTCGTTTTATATTAAACAAAAAATTTGGGTGAAAAAAGGGGATGTTGGGTTTAATGTAGCTAACTATATTTAGAGGATATTCTAGCCGTTACTTTGAGGTTATGATATCGCTTAGTGTTGTTAAAAAAGTTAAATAATTAAATTACAAATAATTATAAAACCGACTTCTGAATACCAAAAACAATGAAATAATTTCCACATAATTAAGTAGCTGCGTAAGTCGCCCCTTAGACATATTGTATCGAGGAATTAAATCCTTAACTTCAGAAGTTACTAAATTGTGTGGAAATTATTTCATTCTTTTTCGTTTTTAAAAGCTCGTTGTTACTTCTTTTTTAAGTTTAATCAATCAATAATTGCTTTTAAATATTTATGGCACTACTTCTTTAATTCTTCTGCTCATTTAAACTTTCTACATGACATTATCAACGTGGTTGCAGCTATATGGTTCTCACAGAATACCAGCGTAAAAAGCAGCTTAACGCTGCTGTGGTTTGTATGGTGAGTGAAGATAATCGGAGACCCTTTTACTGGAAACGAGGGATTCCCTATCAGTCCTCAGTGGTGAAAACGTATCTGCATTTTAATTCTTAAATGAGGAATAATTAATGTACTACCTAAATATCTATAGGCCATCCAATTACCACCCTAATTTTATACAAAAAAAAAAAACATGAAAGTTAGGTACCTACATTACCTATACCTATTTGTTTGTCATTAAATAAATTATTTTGAATTAAAATGCTATCTATTAAGCCCACAACGTGTTATTAGGTATCCTGTTACTTTAACGTAGGCTTTTTTAAATTATAAGGAGACATCTAGGTTAACCATTTAAACTGCTCCTAAAATAATCAAGATAATAATACGCCATACGTCATAGTTCACATTTGGGCATGCGGTTTGCATTTTTTTCTTATTACCCGACTTCAAAAAGGAGGAGGTTCTCAATTTGAGTGTATGTTTTTTTTGTATATATATATATATATATATATATATATATATATATGTACCTACATGTAATCTAATGATTTCTTAAATTTACGCGTACACTACACATTGAATAAAACTATATATTTATATGGATTTTATCGCGTTTAATTAACTTATGGTCACGTGGGGGGGGGGGGGGCAACTGAGATGTTTGACGTCTCAATATCATAGTTAGCCCGGCTATCTTCAGTTTTTGAATATTGATTTTTGGTTCCAATTTTCATAAAACGAGCTTACAGTATCTTGAAGTCTTGCAGTGGTATGCTTGGGTTTGGATAGATTTTGTTAATTATAGGACCCCAAGCAGATAGCAGCACCCATTCACCGACTGTGGCCGGCTTCACTCGGTCGCTGTGATGTAGGCTTGGGACCTTGGTCTTGCAATACTTGCTTGACATGCTGAAGCTCGGCGGCCAGATGTATTTTTTCACAGATCCCTTGTGCTCTCTGAAACAAATATTTACACACAGTAACAAACTATGAAGAATGATGGTGAGATTCACCATTTAAATATCGGTTGGTATGGGTCTTTTTCCTATACATAGTATGACCAATATGTTATCAGGATTTCGGATGACGCAATCTGCGAAAATATCGCGTAAACATACATATGTTACGGACGATTTTTTCGCAGATTACTAACCAATTTTGATGATTCTTTTTTATTAAACAGGTTAGATATAGGTACTTCAAGGATGGTACCATATAAATTTTACCAATTTCGAGTCATATAGATTCATAATTGAAGATAAATGTAGATGTCTATGAGCCACAGCATCCACTTACCATCAAGTGGACTGTGTGCTCGTTGGTCACCCTTATTCTATAAAAAAATCATAATTCACAATTCCTTTAATTCCTAAACACACTTGTGTTAAAGATTTAAAAAAGTATAATAAATGGAGTCATGTTTCGCTTCATCAATACGAATAAAGTTTGTACAGTCAAATTATATTTCTTAATAATTATACTGTATTATTAGATTTCCTATTAAAATATAAATAAAATTGGATACTGCATTTGGAAATAAATAACTTCGACTTTGTTACTGGTTAAGGTGACAATGAGAATACCTTATATGTGGATGCTGTGGGTAGGTGATATGTGGAGATCTTCATTGACGCAGAATATGTGGCTACTGAACAAGGTCGCTAGAGATAAAATGTCGACCTTAATGAATAACATGCTGTGAGGTATTCCATGTTAACCCTCAGAGGTACTTTGTCTGAAGTTAGTTGCAGATATCTATGAATTGAAGTAGGTGCTTGCCATACCGGATTGCAAGTTTTCTCACTTCAATTTAAAAAAAAAAGATTTACATACAGTCAAGCAAGATTTACATACATATAATATATATATTAACATACTGTCTAAATATTACATCTTAGATTATATTAAAACCTCTGACTTCTAAACTAGGCAGTATAATATGTTGGTTTGCGTCTAATAGTTTTTGCGTTTAATGTGGGATTGTTTTTTTTTTTATTTTAATCTGGGTTGCGGTTGTTGTTGGACAATGCCTGTCAATGTCATACTTTATGGGCATGCACTAATTAGGTCGGCATGCCCATAAAGTATGACATTGACAGGTACTGTCTGTACACTGACCTCTATATATACTTGTATATATAGAGGTCAGTGTGTCTGTACTACTAAGAAATTCAGGACTTCATAGGCTTGATTTTTGCTGACAGCTGTCGCAGAGGTCAAGCTACCTTTTATGAACTATAGCTTGGTGTAAAAGGTAAAGGGATATTAAAAATGTGATTGTGTTGGCGATGGGCTACCACATATCACTTTTTCACCTACAATTTTTCATCTAAACCCATACTTTTTTTAGCTAAACGTGGTTGTAGTAGCTTGCTGCTCATTGCATTCGACTCTACCTAACCCTGGGGGATTACAAGCGTGAAGTTATGTACGTGTTTATGTAAATATATATTTAACGGATAATTTTTGAAGTTAATTATAAAACGAACAGTTCCCTGCGTTTTCGCACGCGTGGAATTCATTACGATTGTATTTCATGGGTATTAATTTGTTTCGCACAGAATCGTATATTTCTTTCTAAAATAAAAGTACCCTAAGTTACTTAAAACATTAGCACCTGCCAGTGAAAGTCCCGTTAATATCGGTCCAGCTTTTTCTGAGGTTGCTCGGAACAAACATACAGACAGACAAAATTTATATTTTTGTTATATGTGCCGTATATTTTTATTTATACGTGGTACAGCCATGATGCAGTTATATTAGTAGTATAGTTGTAGCACGGATGGGTCGGCTCGACCGGGGAAGGACCACGCTCTCACAGAATACCAGCGTGAAATAGTGGCTTAATGATTCTGTGTTTCGTATAGTGAGTGTAGAGATCCGGAGACCCTTTTTACTGGAAACGAGGCATTCTGTCTTAGTCCTCACGGATGACAACGCATCTGCATTTTGATTTGTAATCGAGGATAGATGTAGATGTCTATGGGCTACAGCAACCACTTACCATCAGGTGGACTGTGTGCTAGTTGGTCACCCTATCCTATAAAAAAATATAGTACCTTCATATGCATTTAGTAAAAAGCTGTTATTTTAACTTTATAAAGAGACTTTAATTGTGTTTATTTGTAATAGGTACACAAAAAAATACAAAATAGCCTATGACGTAGGTAAGTGATGAAATA